GACAGAGGCTGCTGCTGAAACAGCCTCTGCCCATGGCGAGGCTCGGCCCACGGCAGACTCACCATCCTTCCCTATCCCTCTTCCCTGGTGCCTCTCAGAGGCAGCATGGGGGGCAGGGAGCACTCCTGTTTTCCCACACACACACTGCCTCTAATACAGAGGCATCAAGGGAGGGGAGGGGGAAGCGAACAGTTGACTACTCGCTTACCTCCCTACTTGGCACTGAGATTTAAATATTCAGAAATAGGTGCTAAGTTACTAGTGAAAAATAAACATGTACAGGAGACAAAATATATAGCTGGATATGCAAAATGGTTAATGACTTATGCACATTTGGGGCCTGTACCTCTTTGAATTCAATGGCCAAAGCTTTCACTGAATTCAGCGGTGCAGGATCAAGCCCTTGGCCAGCACAATTACCTATTTGTGCCAATGCACCTGAGCCTGTTCACACAATTTAGGATCTGACCATATTTTTGGAAAAATTGGCCCTAAATGTTACTGAAGCAAATAAAAGAATGATGCTTTCCAGACAATGCTCTGGCAGGCCTAGCCACAGAGGAGACAGAGAAGAGGGCAAGTGTGAAAAATCAGGACATATTTTTGCAGGGGAGGGGGAAATGGCATATAGTTTTGTGTATACGACAAAGTCCCCAATGCTGAGATGGTCCCACAGTGTCACACCTGGTCACCCTTTCAAGACAGAGCTCAGGGATGGGTGGAGAAAGAGAAAAGGGGGTTGAGTTGGAGGGCATACAAGAGATAAATCTAAATAAAAATCAGTTGAAGCAGCAGGACTTTTTCCCTTTCACCTGGTCACAAATAATATGATCTCCAGTCATGCCACCAATACAGCCTAAAACCCCCACGTTGCAAACAGAAATCCTGCCCTCCATTCTCGGCCGATACCCTCTCAGATAGATGTGCTTTGCGTTGAATTGATTATTTATATTTACTGCTAGCTTTCTCATTTTCATATGTCCCTCAGGTTTTTGGGCTTTTAACAGTGTTAAAAAAACAACCTCTTTCCATTCATTTATCACTCCCTATCATCATTTTTAGAAAAGGGATGCACCAAAAATACCAAAGTCAGATATGGCTGAATTTAGGTCAGTTTGAAACATTGAAACATGTCTTGCTTGCATGCAAATTATCTTATTCTTTATTATTCTGACATCTGTTTTGCCAATGTTTTTTTTTTTAATTTCTAATATATCATCTCTAAGTTTCATTTGCAGTGTGAATAAGGTAAAACTTCCCAACCCATCATCCTACATCATGTCATATGCTGCACCCTCTTTGAGACAATAATCGCCTTCCTAGTCAAGTAAATGGCAGCTAGCACTGGACAAAGTATTCTGGGTCAGATTTAGCAAGTAGCTTATACAATAAGCTTCCTTTTCCTCTCCTAATAGAACCTGAAACCTTATGTGAAAAAAATACTGCATGCTATGATCACGATGAATGATGATAGTTTAGTGGCACCATCACCCAATTATAACAGATTGGTGAGGCATTCAGTTTGCACTCTGTAGTCAGTATATTTCATGTCCTTTCCTTCTCCACTAAAAGAGTTTGTGGAGAGATGCTTTCCTTGTGCCCTGCTTTGGTCCAATTTAATATTCTGATCTTAACATGTAAATGATCCATGAGACAGGAAAAATAAACGGTATGTATTGTTTTAGAAAGGCATTTAAAAACAGCCAGTTAGCTAGGTAGTTCCAGGAGAGAGGGTCCTTCTCAAAGACTAATTTTTATTCTGTATATATCTCATTCAAAAGTCCAGCTGGCATTACACAGCTGGGCAAAACAAGCTAGGGTAGGGCAGAGCTCTCCAACCCATAACACACACCCATATGCACACATGTACATACATCATCTTAGCACTAACACACTGAACGCAAAGTCAGGGGTAGGAACTGTCTGTAGTTCTGACCCTGGTTTGGGTCACCTGTTTGACAGCAGTTATTTCATATTGAAATATGGTTCCTTTGTTCAATGGGGATGAAACCCTGAGGGTTTGGTTCTGAGCTCATACTGGTCCACTTCAATATCACTACATCGACTTCAAAGGAGTTCTTCATGATGTGAGAACAGAGTCAGGTCCAGCAAGTGTTTTATTTGCTGGCTATGGCTGCAAAGGACAACTGGAGTGTCTGAATGCAGCAATCCAGCTCTTTGAAGCCACTTTAGTTTCCTGTGGCAACGCAATGGCAACTAGCAACTAATTCTATATTAAGTTAGGAAATGGACAAAATCCAGCTATGAACATACCGGATAGACTGATGTGTTATAAACAGCTTTTGTTCTTTAACTGGAGATAGTCTGGCTGTCCTTTGTAAGAAAACAAGGTCCAGAGTAATTTTGCCAGACACCCACTGTTCATTAGTAATTGTTTTTAATAACTAGGCTCTAAATTTATAGATTAATTTTAAAAACCTACTAGAATCCTCAAAAAGAGAATGATTTTTTGCCCATGTGACTGTACAATCTAACAGACTGCAAAAAAATTCTGGGAGCAGAAGTGCCGATGGCAACTCTCTCTGCTATTATATGTAAAGTTCACAGAACATCGCAATCAAATTAGATAAATCTTGAAATCTGAAAGCTGTATCTATGGGGAACAGACCAAAAGAAAGCTTCTGTTATTCACGAAGGAGCAGAATAGGAGTAAAGAAAGGTATTATTGCAAAGAACTGTATTATCTACCTTATGGAAAAAATGTCTATATTTATTTGAGCGTTTCTACAAATGTGAAAAATAAGTTGTCTAAGTCCATGTGCTTTACTCACAAACTAATGCCTAAAAGCAATGTGTTGTGTAATAAAGCTAGGCAAACATCTAGGCCAAGATTTCAAATAGTCATTAGTGCTTTTGGGCATTTCAGTCTGTGGGCGTCCAACCTAAGCTATCTGAAAAATCAAGCCCCTTTAAGTCTCTCAAACTGGACAGCCAAAATCACCTGTCACTGTGGCCCTAGTGAATGGAACCTATTTCTGATGGGTTCCAAACTCCCATTTCAAGTATTCAGACAGTGTAAAGCTCCCTGGTAAGCTTTAGAATACTGCAGCATCTTTACTCTACCAGCCTACTCTTTTCTTCTTTGGGGACAGAACATTCCAGGCATTTGAGAGTTGAAAATAAAATTTTGCAGTCTCCACTAACAATCACTTTTTGATGGCCGGAACTTTTTATCCAGAATCAGTGTTAGCCCCTAGATCAGGAGTGGGCAATACTTTTTTTATTGGGGGTGCCTCTCCAAGATTTTGGTAAGTGGTCAAGGACTACACTTTTTATGGAGGGGGCTGCAGGGTCTGGGATGGAGGTTGGGTGCAAAAGGGAGCTCAGGATAGGGGACTGGGTTGCAGGTGAGGATGTGGGCCTGAGAAGGAGTCTGGGTAAAGAAGGGGGTTGTGACCTGGGGGGCAGGGGATTGAGGTGTAGGAGGGGGTGTATGGTCAGGGAGGGGGTCTGGGTGCAGGAGAGGATTTTGACCTGGGGGAGGGGTGTAGGAGAGGGTGCAGGGTCTGGGAGGGATTTGTGACCTGGGACAGGAGACGAGAGTGCAGTGGGTGGTGACCTGGGGCAGGAGACTGGGGTATAGCAGCGGGTACAGGGTCAAGGAGGGGGGTATGGGTGCAGGAGAGGATTCTGACCTGTACAGAAGATTGGGGTGCAGGATCAGGAAGGGGGTCTGGCTTCTGGACAATGGGAGCTACAATGATTGGGCTGGGGGCAGGAGCAACAAACAAAGTCTCCCCACCGCGTCTCCCACCGCACTCCCACAAGAGGAGCGAAGTGCCTAAAGGCACATGGAGGGAGCAGCCAGGTGTTTTAAACTTCTCCCCTCCCCCCCACAGGCTACATCTTGCCTAAATGGTATCAGTTTGCAAGCTATACCACTCTAGAGACTGACTAATCAGACCTGCCATTTTACTCAAAGGAGGAAAGAAAAAAAAGTCAGAAGGAAGACATACAAGTGTGAAAAGGAAGATGAATGAGAGAGCTAACGATTCTATAAATGGCTTTTCAATGCAGAGTGAAATTTAACCCAGGTCCCTGATCATATTAGTTGACCTTACCTTCTTTTATATCATGAGCTGTACTTGTTAAGTTCTCCTCTTCTTCATCTGTACTAGAATCACTGGGCTCAGGTTCAGAACTCAAATGATCATTTTCAATTGCTTCTGCTATTTTCTCTTGAACTGATTTACAATCTTCAAAAAATATCACAAAATTACTTAACAAGGAGCAAGAAACAGAAACAACCAAAATCTTATGGGGTAAGACAATAATTCAGTAGTCTGAAATCAGCTTAATAGCTGTAATATCAGTTCAGGGTTAATTAAAATCCAGTAAGCCTTCACCAGTGATAATGCTTCTAAATATCTTAAAATCAAATGGCAAGCCATTATAAAAATTCATGCAGGAGGATCTACAAACATACATGCAGAAGTCAGCCACCAAACACCACAAAGATGCAAAACTACCTTTGTTAAGATGTTTTTCATGCACTAGCAACAAAATTGTTTGAATACCAGAAATCTTTTATTGTCCTGTGCCTCTTTAAAAAAAAAAAAACCTTACAGCATATTTTTACATACTAAAGTTTCCATATACATTTCTGATTATTTTTAAAATTCCTCATATTAGTAGAATCAGCTGAAAACATAGTCTTAGATAGATGCATGGTCATATGTGAATGTAAATCCTTATATATAGGCAGAGAAATATTTGCTTCATCTAAAAGCAACAACAATGGCATTCACGTTTTTGCTTCATAGTCAGGCTATACCTGTGACACTGGTAGTACTATAGTGAAGGTTGTGCTATCTCTTCTATTAATGTTTCATATACCACCTGCTAGGCAATAATACTAAAGGATATGTGATTCTAAAACTACATTTGTCCTTTGTTAAAAGAACTATTTATAGAGGTGCTATAATGGGAGCTAGCATTGATTCTAGCCACGTATACAGACTAACTTCCTGGTGCCTCCTCCCAACTCTTCCCTCCTGGAAACTCGGAAGATTGCTACAATTTTAGCTTGCATGTCAAGAGTTCTATAATATGGCTATATTGTGTTTAATTTGTATTAAGGGAGATGTACTATCAGCACTGCATTTCTGTCAAGCCAGTCCCATTTCCAAACCAAAAGCAGAGAACTTTCCTGATTTCAGATGCTACTGGACTCTTTGCAAATGGCAAAGAAAATCACTCTGTGAGAAAAACAAAACCCATTGGGGAGGAGGGAGTGTATGGATGGGAGAGGTTCCTTCTAACAGTGCATGGAAAATAACAGCTAGTGATACTGTTGAGACTAGAGAATAAATACCAACGTTGTTTAACCTTCTATCTGTGTACATAATGGGGTTTAAGCTGCCCGGTATTTTCATGGCAATGAAGGATTCTATTGGAAGGACTTAAGGTGACATATTTAGATCCAACTGGGTTTCAAAGGAGGTTAGGGACCAGATGGTCGCTAGTCAAACTCTCCCCCTTCTCTTTCTTTTCCCCATTCTTACATTCTTTTCTCTCCACATCTAGCCATTCTACTTTCTTTCCTTTCCCCTTCCTCTCTCACCATTTCCTAAAGGCTTGTTTTTTCTCTTATACTGCCCTTTTCCTCCACAACTTCTCCACTTCCTTTTCTGCTTTTTATGTATTCTTTTCCTTTTATTTTTCCTTTCTCCTGCTTCTCCTTCCCCAACACTGTTTCCAGTTCCCTGCTTCCTTAGCTCCCAGGAGCAATAGGACAAAATAAGGAAGGACAAATTTAGCCTGAATGGAAGGGGAAGCTTTTAAAGGACCATCAATTTCAGTCTGCATAACAGTCTTCCACGGGAAGTAAGAGATACTTTCACTTAAGGCTTAGAAATGTAGACTGGACAAATCACTGGAAACCATGCTGCAGGGAACACTCCAATGTGGGCAAGGAGGTGGACTGGATGTCAGCTAGAATGTCCCTTCTGCCTGTAACTCTGGTCAGATGATTGTTTATTCTTCCTCGTCCTTTTTTTTTCTCATCTGTTCCCCATACCTCAGCTTTCCTGTTACCCTTCTCATTGACTCTGTTCTCTCTCTTTAGGCGTCACCTCTACCCACTCTTGTTCTGGTCAATGTACTAGCCCCTACGTGAAGCCACTCTGCCTCCCTGTACTTATTTGGCCACTATACCACCATGCTTCAACATTTCAGAGCAGGGTCTCTGGGTACTTTTGAAGTATCAATATTAATAAATAATAACAATGCAGAAAAGAGGAGAAATGCAGAAAAGAGGAGAAAGTCTCTCCTCCCCTCTTCCCCTAGAGACTCTTTTGCTGCATCAGAATAAAGAAGCATAGCGAGCATTTTGTTCAGGCTCGCTGAAGCCTGAAAAGCTTTGTTAAATATGGTATATACCTTATTACTCTGAGTCCTGCCGTTTGATTGTCTGGCAGTTCCCATTCTTCCTAGTTTACTGCCCGTGTTACATGTTTGACAAGAGGGAGTATTGACAGTCAATCAAAACACAGAGCCCAGAGCAAGATGACTAATACAGCACACAGTAATTCTGTCTCTAAGGAAGAGTGATGCCTCCTTGTCGCAAAGTTCACAACAAGATCAGAAAATACACAGCAGGTATTTACATACCTCCTACAAATCCTAACTCCCACATGCATGGTGCCTTTCCCAGCCTCAGCAAGCAGCTGAATAAGCCCAGACAAGCTTTTCCTCTTACATGTAAATTCATCTCTGATAAATATTTCTGCAACATCTAGAACTAAAAAAGTTAGCAGAAGCACAATCAATAACTGTGTCTGCTCCCAACCAATAAGTCAGGGCAGAAAACTCAGTTACTAGTGGAAAGGTAGTGCTGACTACCTTCTATAGAAAGTGTAACAAGGAAACAAAGGAGCCCAGGCACTCAGCTATTTTCAGGACTGGCCCAGCATTTTCCTAAATTAGTAAGTAGCAGGTAACTGTGGGATCAGGCCCTAAGGATTCCCAAGATACCATGAGCTATCCATCAAGCCTCTCTTTAATGTTAGTTTCCTTTCAAAAAGGCCCTACCCTTATTCGTTTATTACTCACGTTGTTCCTTGACATTCTTTTCTCCCAAATTCACCTGGATAGTCCTATAGTGGTAGGGAGCTGGATTGGAGAAGATCTACTAGGTCTCTTGTCTCTCTAGCTCCTATGATTAAATGAGTATTTTTGTCCATGTAGCCCTTGTTTTGTACTCATTTTCCCTAGTCTGCTCCTGAGTCTTAGACATTCTCCTGGCAGTAAAGATGCTATAAGATTTGATGGAGAAGTATACATTCTTTTATCTGCACTACACTTATCCCATCTGTCACTTCCTCATCCTGACAACTGAAATGAGGCCCTTTAAAAAGAGAAGTCATCCCAAATGCTATGTTCATTCAAATCTATTACTACAGTATAAAATTACTGTTTGATCGAATTCCTGGGTACTGAAATTAAATAAGAACAATGGTCTTATTTTGTGCCAAAACCACAGCAGGTCATTAGCTCAGTAGATATGATTATCCCTTTCTTCCCCCCTTTTTTTTATTGCAGCACTTTATTCTACCTGTATGCTTTCTAATGACTTCAATCTTCAACCATACTGAACACTTATCTAACAGTCTAAAGTGAAGTTGCTTAAGATAGATGCTTTATTCAAGTAAAGGGAAAGTTTCAAGAAACATACTAAAAATAATTCAATATAATCCCGGAATACTAAATTATTCCCTCTTTTTCAATTTTGGATAAATAAGAGAACAAAACAAAAGCATAGTGCAACCCAAAGCAATCCAACACCAAGAAACTTGCAAATAATATGATATAGCATTCAACAGTGTTTTGCTTTGCTATTTGATACATGCTGCACTCAAGCAGAAAGCAATAGAAACAAGCCACAAACAGCTCTTAAAACTAAGTGAGAGCATTACATAATCTACTGCAAAACTGATATCCACAGAAATACAGTCAGAAATACTGTCTAGCCTGACTCCCCTTCTTCACATCTGCATCACTACAGAAGGCCACTTTATTACCTTACATTGACATTCCCAATATTGCCAAAATATACTTCCTGCAATCCAGATGAAATTCCACACCATGTACTCACATTCTTCCCACCCAAATGTGCAATATTGCACAGTCTCACTCATATGAGTATAATAACTATACTCCTTGCCCAGTTTGTTAAAACATCCATCCATAGTGGTGAGGTTGGAGTATTAATATCCCCATGTTACAAACAGAGAAACTGTGGCTCATGGAGGTTAAGATATTAGCTCATGATCATGACAGAGCTGGAGACAGAAACGATGTCTCCTAATCTGTTTGTCTATGCACTGCACCATGATATATGAGAGATTTAACAGAGTCCTTATGGAAACTGGAAGTATAAGAAGTACAAACCAGTATATCTGAGCTGGCATTTGAAGAGGACTTCTAATGCTTGTCATTTGAACAGGACTGAACTTTATAAAATTACATAAGGGTATTGCAGTTCATGGCAAAAATATAATCACATATTGCCCCAATGAGTGATAGAGATGAAAAAAGAATAGTCAAACCTTACACTGGAAAACATCAATGAACACACAATACATCTCTAGTGATTATTTGGCACATAACAAAATGACATTCTAACAATTTTACATTGTGCACCAAGAATTTCTCAGGCTGTTTCAAAATGCATCTCAATTACTAATGGTAAGAGCAAAAGATACAACGTTTACATGCACTGAACACATCACTACTCCACCAAGAGACTATACTTACCACCTTCTTCATCAACCTCAGGAGAATCCTTGTTTGTAGCCTGTGCTTCTACAGTGCTGCCTTCCAAATGCTCTAGAACAACCTCCTCCCCATCTTCCCTAGCATTGCTTCCATCCTCCTCCCCTCCTTCCCTTATATTATTTGCTATTGACCCTACATGGTTGGGTTCCTCATTGAGTTCATCATTGCCTGGACAATGTATTTCTATCATACTTCCAGGAAGAAACTCAATGTCTTTCCGCATCACCATCTCTGCTTTTGTTTCTTCTGCTTCATCTATTACTTCTTCCTCCACTGCATCAGTTTCCTGATTTTCCACAGATTTGAGCGGTTTGCTTTCCCAAGTCTCATTTCCATGCTTCTCATGTGTCATTGACCTTTCAGTGACTTCCTTTTCATTGCCCTTAACATGGTCTTTCATCTTTTCAGTTTCAGAGTCGTCTTCACCGCTATACACTGTACGGCTGGATGAGAGAGAGGATGCAGACTTCCTATCTACAAACAGTAAACATAACTTCATTTTACTATTTTTCATAAAGCATCTGTCCTTGCTGAATCCCGGTTCATTTAGCTGGGTACAAAGAACCAGATCCTCATCTGGGGTAAGTGCCATTGTTCTGCTTTAGACCAGCTGAGGATCTGCCACAAAATGCTTACCTAATAATTATATAGATAATTACATTACCTGAAACTAACTACAAGCATTTAATCAAAGCCTTTTAACATATTTTGTTTCTGATGATGTAATCACACCACAGGAAATCTCCATCAATGATACGAGACCTACTTCCCAGAACACCTCTGAATGCAGTTGGAAAGGGGTTAACACAAACTCCTCCAGCTGTATTTGACAAGACGTTTCAACAGTCAGAGTTCTTCAGCACATTCATAACATCTCAGTGGATCTATTATAAATCTCCTGTGGACCACACAGGAATCAATACCATGAAGCATTAATCCTTGCTGTTTACAATGTCATCCTGGTTTTCTAGCACCCCTCACATCTTCGATTATTATTTCCTAATGCATTGCTATGAATATGCTGCAATTTTGTTTTGTTTTTAAAAATTAAATGCTATATTTTTACAGGAGCTAAACAGGTCTTTCAGATACACATGTGCAGGACTAGTGAGGGAATGTTTGAGTGAGGAATATGGCCCTAAATAATATACTGCTTGTTAAAGCTGACAGATTATCAGCCCAGGGGGCTAAAGCCTTCCATTTATCACAGAGAAGATGCAGAACAGTGCAAAAATCCACACACTTTATACTAGTGTGACCCAGTTTTGTTCTAGACAGTCCCTCACTGAATTAGATCAGATCATCCTTCCATTCAACTCCTGTCATCTCCATGGAGATTGACAGCAGAAATGATCATTAGTATCTGTGGTGATGTGGAATCTACCTGCTTGTACCTGAACTGAGAGACATTTCACACGCGGTCTACTGAACAGCAATCCCACGGTAGTGACTGCCAGTTGCTACCTGTCTGCACTGGATGCGAACCCGCAAATTAGAGGTAAAAAGTTCTGAATCCCCGTGGTCACCGAGTTCCCTAAGAATGTTATAATTATTAAAGATACAAATAACATAAATAGGTCAGCTGAGAAAAAAAAATCTCATACACTCACATACGCAGTGTATATTTATTTCCAGGAAAACTGTCCAATGATTATTTATGATGTATTCATCTGCTTATGGGCCATAAAGATTTGAATGCTAAAATCTTTTTTAAATGCTCTTTATTTATGCCTAACCTATAATATTACGTGAAAATAAGGACTTGGGCTTATTTGGATATGTTTATCTGGATATGTTTATAAATCTCTACACACAGAGTGAAATTCTGTGTTCAGTTATACCTATGCAATCTTGTTGAATTCAGATACTGTGGTGATGAGTGCAGCATAAATGCAGAGGTAAGGTGAAATGAGATAAGATTTGATCCCCCTCTGTATTATTCTGTGTCCCATTATTATCAGCATACATTACTTGTAACACAGTAGCACCCAGGGGCCCAAAGAGGAGTTGGGTGGAGTTCAAAAATACATTCATGATACAGTCCCTGCTCCAAATAGCTTGCAATTTACAGTCTTGATTCTGTATACAATCACACAAGTGCTTAACTTTGAACAAGTGAGAAGCAAAGTTCCCACTAAGCTGTGCAGTAGCACAGCCCAGCAGCTGCTTAATGAGCCCTGCCCAGCCAAGAGCTCAGAACTCCCACATAGAGCTGCCTGGCTGGAGGAGGGGCACTTCTCCTTCAGCAACAGCAGCAGTTCCCTTGCTGAGGACAGAGCAGCAAGTCTCTCCCAGCAGGTTGGGAAGGGACAGGTTCCTACCGGCTGGGAGAGACTCACTGCTCTGTCCTCAGCAGGGAGCTGCGTCTATCACTGAGGGAGAAGTGCCCATCCCCTAGCTGGGCAGCTTGGTGCATGGAGTCCGGAGCCCATGGCTGGGCGGGGCTCATTAAGTAGCTGCGGGGCTGTATTGCCATGCAGCTTAGGGGAACCTTGGTGAAAAGTCCATGAGTCGAAGGACCATGGCTTAGATATATTCAAGACATAAATGAATTGTGCACACAATAATTAAGATGAAGGGAGAAAGAAAAGAAAAGAAAAGAAAAGAAAAGAAAAGAAAAGAAAAGAAAAGAAAAGAAAAGAAAAGAAAAGAAAAGAAAAGAAAAGAAAAGAAAAGAAAAGAAAAGAAAAGAAAAGAAAAGAAATAATTTGGTTATGTAAACTAGCTATTTGGGTAATTTACAGATTTCTGTGGTTTTGTCATGGTAATGAGAGTTTTACCATTAGGCCTTTACCAAAAATGAAACTTCTCCTGAAAATGACCCGGGAATCACAATGATAGTTTAGGCCAACATCCATTCCATGTAACAAGCACACGGTATCTGAACATACCTTAGTCCAGGGGTGGGGAACCTCAGGATGTTTGCCTGGATCTGGCCTTGGAGGCTCATGGCACTCCAGACCCCTCCACTGCCCACCACGTGACTGGAGTACACAAAAATCTTCTAGACTGGGCCCCTAGGCTCTGGTGTGGAAGAAGAATGTGGGAAGTGTCTTTTTTTTCTTCTTGGCTTCTCACTTGTGTGTGGCCCCCACTGATTTTTCTGTGGGTCAGCAGCTCCTGCCCCAAAAAAGGTTCCCCACTCCTGCCTTAGTCATTCAAAGTCCGCATTCAAATTAACAAAAGATCAAAAATTCACTTAGTGACAACAATAGCATGAAAGAAAAAACCTACAAGACTTCATTTGAGAAGCTTCTTTCCCTTGCACATGTACTTCTTCAAGATCTTTGAGGGTTACCTTTCAACGTGGTGTGCCTAGAGTTAGGACACCTAAATTAGTGGCCTGATTTCATAGTCTCTGAGCACCCACTGAAATTAATGGGAGCTGGAGGTGTTCAGCACCTCTGAAAAATAGCCAATTATTTATGTGCCTAAATATGAGTTAATCAGAATACAATAAGCTGTAGATTCAGTAGACTACTGTTTAAAGAACATTAGCAAATCCACCAATGGGGAAGAGGAGGCAATTCACCGGGGCCTAGAGATTCAAAGAGGCCTGGAGCTCCCAAACACTGTTATGGAAGGCACAGCAACCAGAGACCCAGGCCCCTTTGACTTGCTGCCAGAGCGCTGCAGCACTATGCAGGCACTATGAGAAGCTCTGAGTGCTTGGGTAGGAAGCTTGCTGTGGTCTGGGCAGTGCTAAGAGCTGACTTCCCGAGGCTCCACCCCTGCTGAGGTGTGGAAGTCCCATACACACACCTTGCCCCAGGACCCTGGGTGGCTGTCAGCCCTCTGAACATTGGCAGTGTTTCCAAAAAAAAATCCACATCCCTAATGTTCCACATTTATCGGGAAGCCAAGAAGAAATTTACTACTTACCAGAACTATGAGTTCTCCAACAGCGCGCCCCACCCAACAGCCACATTTCTAGGGTTAGTGAACAGCATGCTTGCCATGTGATTCCAAGAGCCCTTTGAATCAGAGTGTCAATGTTTTTACCATGACAGCTCTTACTCTATATGCCAAGCCAGAGTGTGAAAATTTAAATGCTAAGGCCTCAGTTGCAATGCCCAGCCTGTCCAGGAGTTAACAGGATTTTTAAATACAAGAGAAAGACAAGTGGCTGAAAGAGAGTATACCTGAAGAACTCATGGTATCGATCAATAACTTCGTTTTCTCTCACACAAACACACACTTGGAGACTAGCTAGCACTACCAAGTTTCATTTATGATTATAGTGATTATTAATAATACAATTAATAATTAATTGCAGGCCCTTACCTGCAAACGTGCAGAGCGTTTCAAGGTGGGGCATTCAGTAGAATGAACTCTGCATTTAGTGCCGTTTTGAAAGTGCCCTTTGTGTGCCCTGCCTCTCTCTCTTGGCCACCTACTGCTACAGCCTGCAAGGGGTGCAGAGGAGACCCTAAAGGCTCCTGTGAGATTCATGACATCATACCAGACTTCCATCGTCAGTGCTCCAGGAGTACAAGTGACATCAATCGACACAGTTCATGCATTAATGCACAAAGAGCAAAAGGGAAAAGCTCTCTGCAAGAAAACTTGGCTTCCACCCGTGTCACCAGTATGACAAAATTTAGCCCATACAGAGAGACATACTCTCCTACCCTGAAAATCTTCTAATGTAAAAGTAGAGAATAGCGGTGCTTCTAGTCCTGGGCCCTGGTTCTCAGGTCTCGAGAGTTCAGCAGAATATGAGGAGGCACTAGAGGAGGAAGGCAGCTGAAAGCCTGCGAATGACTGCTGGAATGCAACAGTGATCTGTCCATGCTTCCTATACTGAACGCTAGGAGATGGAGACATTGAGTGAGCTCTACCATCTCTACAGCAACTAAGGAATCCCCCAGAACAAGGAAACCTTCAGTTGCCCATTTTGGGAAGCTTTCCAGTCCCTTTCCAGTGCTGTGGGCATGAAGAGACCATTGCATGGGGCAGGATGTGATCATAGGTATCATGGCCCTAAGAGGTGGGAAGACTGGACTGGGCTTTGGGTGCTGCCTTCAGGGTGTGGATGCCCAGGGGGTTGGGTCCAACCCCAAGGAGATGGGTACCAGGCATGAGGGTAGGAGAGCAACCGCCTTTGCACATACCCCACACCAGCTCAGACTGCCCTGCTCCTGCCCACTGACTCTGTGTAGGTAAATCAAACCTCAGTGGGTTGACCCTCCTGACACTCAGTTTGGCCCAGCTGCCCCTCCATCAGAATTGAAGGGCAGTCAGACAAGATCTGGTCAGCTGGAGGCTCAGTGCAGGTGCACTTAGTGCACGTTGGTTAATACAAGCCTTTGAGAGATCGATTAAAGTGCCTGCTGTGCTTGATTCAGAAGCTGCCCTAACCCACGCACTATTGGCTCTTTTGCTCCCTCTCTCCCCCCCCCCCTTCTCTTTCTTTCATCATCTCTCAAAACATCTCTGAGTTTTGTCCCAGTGCAGAATAAGCAAATGTTTGA